AACAGTATATACAGTCATACATTCAATTTGGCCAATGCTAACACAGCACTTGTTATATACAGTACATTGTTTATAATCTGTCAGAAATCTGGATAGAATCCATTCAAATCCGTAAGATACTCCTACATGTATAGTCATTAGAAGACTGTATTAGCTTCATATAAAAATTTTTAAAAAAAGTAAACTTAATGTCATTTAATTTATTAATACAGATTTTACATTTGATGTCACAATTCATTGAATTTTACCTAGAAGTACAAAAGTCAAGAATGATCATACTGCATAAGTCAATTATGTTTTGGATTGCTGTCATGGAACTATGATAATGCAATTATTGATCTTACTAATAAAGACATAAAACATTAATCACTTCATCAAATGACAAATGTTGTGTTTCTAGTAACCCTTTATCCTTTTTTTCCTGCAAAAAAAATTAAACCCTATACAGTAGATCTAGGGTACTGAGTAAAAGGATCGATCTATTTGTAACAGACCCAAGAGCATTACTGTTATTTTCTCTTTGAGCAAAAAAAATAAGAGGGGAGCTCTCCCCTTCCAAAGATTCTTGAGAGAGCGACACTAATTTTTCCTGTTCTGGCAATCTAAATTTACTTAAATCCTACAGCAACTTTTGATAAAGATCTAGGCTTGCATGCTACCATTAAACTTTACAAAATGGCAGCAGTACATGTATATGTATTACAGTATATGAGTATATCATTATATGGACTGAATTTCTCCCATTACCTAACCAAATTCCATGTCCCAATAGGCTGTCTGACCACCTAATATTATATTTAACACTTTGGGATTTGTTGGCTAAACTGGTATCAGCCTGTTGATAAACTGGAATATAAAAACGTGTAATTTTTGTTTTTGTTTCAGCAGCATTAAATGCCAAAATCTCATAATCTGTAAAAAAAAAAAAAAGGAAAAAACTCAGATTACTCTCATGTACTTATGTTGCCGTGTATAAATCAGTATTACATGAACTGCATTGTCGAACAATGATGTAAAGCTGAACAAGGGGCCCATTCCCACTTCTTGATAGAGCATATCAGGGGTGAATCCAGAGATTTTTTTTCTGAGAGTCTTCCAAATTATCTTTGTTGATCCATCCTCCATTTTTGACCATCTTCCAACAAAATTGGTTACCCGTCAATATAAACTTGAAAATCTGACTGTCTTCCGGAAGACCCAGAAGACGGCCTCAATCTACCCCTGCACATGTTATTTTACAAGACAGGTGGCCACTGTGTAATATATCATCTGAAGTCATCATCACATCATAATAAGTTCATTCATCAGCAAGCTGTGTCTTCAGCTATACAAACTTCACATTCGTCCAAATGGAGCTCTTCTACATTCAGCAGTGCTTGGTTTCAACAGTATGTGAACAGAATGGATCATTTTAAATCACACATAGATTGCATCATTCAACCAGTTTAATAATAAATGGTAGAGTTTGTCCCACAATTGTTAAGATGAAATATAATGTTGCATTGAGTGCAAAAGGATGTCGATGACCATAAATAGATAAGGCCTAAGAAATCCAGTTTGATTTTCAAAAGTGGTAAATGAAATAAAATAAAGTGTGGATATAAGGGGCAATCATATCAAAAAAAAAAAAAAAACTGTCATCATTCATGTCCATGTGTTTAAAAGAACTGACATTGTACATAAGTGCCTTAATAATTTGACATAAAACAGAAACACTTGGATTCATCATTGTAAACCATCTGAGACAGTAAAGCCAGGCTTGGTGTTAATGTTCTAGCAGTTCTGTATCCCTTGACAACATTAACTTAATTTGTCTTAAAAGAAGTTGTTAAGACATTCTACCTCTGGAGCTTTTCTGGCCATTACGGAGAAAACCTCAGGAGATCAGGCTAACATATAGTAAATGATTTCCCTTAGCAAAACAAAAAGTTTCCAGCAAATTAGGAGTTACCAAGAAAAAAACTGTTGCTGTAAATTTGCAAAAGCATACTAGTAATGATGTTAAGTTTGCAGCAACAGTTTGCAAGAAGCCTAAAATTTTGAGGAGGGGAGGCAAGGTCAGTCAAGAAAAAAAATGCAATATATCACTTGTACATGTCCATGCATGCAGAAACACACATCATGTAATTAATAAATTGAATGAAAACTTCAAGCTAGATTACGCCATCACATCATCTTCACAGCTCACAGATGAACTACTGACATGGGAGAACGATGAACAATTCACATGGAGAGTGACATAGGCCCCATTCAGAACAGCGGACTTACAATTCCCAGGGCCAAATATGGCCTACCCACTTGAATACTCTCCCACGAGGAATCTATTCAGCGTCTATTATCGGATAAGATGGCAAACTTTGTAGTGGGTCGTCATATTTGACCCTCAGACTAGTTAATCCACACAGTTCTGACTGTGGCCATAGACTAAGGCCAGTTCATAACACAGTCCAGTGACGGATCTGGTCAAAGATGTCCCCTGGAAATGAAGACTGGCAATACAGAGAGGTGACCAGAACAGAGCCACTGGACAGTTGATAGTGATCTCCTGATACCGTGTTCCATGGAATAAGAAGACTGACACTGACATTATTATTAGCAACAAATGAATTCCAAATTAAATTTGAACCACAATTGTATTTTTTATATTTAATATACAATTTTGATTTATACTGCATGCAGTCTGCATTTTAATTAATATGTCAGATTATTTTAAGAAACAGAAAACTGTTCAATGCCTTCATGATTAACCCAAATTCAATTCTTTTGTAGTTTCCAATGAGAAAATGAATAAAACTGATCACTTTTGGAATTGCATAGCTGTGCAAATATTTAAAGAATGGAATACGTTTGGTTCCATATTTTATCAGCTCTGAAAAATACAAGTACAAATGACCCTTAGCAATATAAGTAGTGGGTCAATAAAACAAGTGAGCGCAGGCATTATCATCAAAAAAGCTCCAGTTCTCATCAAATACGCTCTGATTGATCAGTTAAGCAAACGCTGCACAGAAGTTCTACTTATCACAAGAAGCTGCTTGGTTGTATTAAGGACTGACCTGGCCGTTTTCTTTTCTCAATCTACCCATTTCAAAGAGTGAAAATATTCTGATTATGGACAGAAGTAACCCACAATCTGGGACTTAGAAATTTTCTTGAGTGAAAATTAAAGTAATTATAATTAAACAGTTATTTGATCACAAAATTAGACTTTCAAACTACACAGGCAGTCTATCTGTAGAAGTGTTGCAAGTCTGTTAACACTGCTATTTCTTATTAATAAATGTTGAAAGTGGGAGACACAATTTTTGTATAATCAAGAAGTTTTTCCAGAGAGTAAAAGAATATGAAAAAGAATGTGAAAATACTTGGAATGACTCCAAATCAAAATATTTTCCCAGTTACCGCTCCATGAAATGCCTTTCTACACACAATATTTCAATAATCAGCTAAAAAAGAAGGAGTTTATATATACGGTATATCAATCATGAAAAGCATCTGCTATTTCAATTAATATCAGAACAAATTCTGTCTTTGGTCGATTTTTTCCTCAACTTACAATGTCATTCTTTCTCATTTGTGTATAAGTGTTCTTCCGTTCTAGACTGTTCATAATTGTTTGACATTTCAATGGCTCTTAGACTCTCTTCTGCTCTATCTGTGCTTTTATTAACAGATAAATCCTGAACTTTATTGTCTCTGGCAGATCTTGGCAAAGACTAAAATAATGGATCAGGATATGAAAAGCTGCCAAGCTACATGGAGTGCTCAAGGCATCACAAATCTACCTCATAAAGTGCGACAGTACCGATACATCGAATAAAACATTAATCAATGGAACTACAACTGATGAGAAAAAAATGCTCCTGATAATTTCAAATAAATAGGAGACTTCAATAAAAAATATGGATACTGGTAATTAAAATGGTGTTAAAACTGAATTGATGATGCCATGCATTTTCTGTTTCTTTCATAGGTGTATTATTAAAATGTTCAACATTAAATAGCTCCATAGTGCACAACTAATAAAATTTCATTAGTAAGAAGTTATTGAGCTATATATCTATTTGTATTTCAGTACACTTTATGAAATAAACTGCCATACCAAAGTTATGTTTTAGCCAAATCTAAGTTAATGAGTTAAAACACACATTTTTTTGGAATTGATTTTTCATTGTAAATATTTCCCATTGCTAATTAAATGGAGTATCAGTGTTCTGAGTTTATATAATCTGCATGTAATATCTTTTTGTTTAACACATATTTTGTGCATTGAGTCACTTGTAACAGAAGTGTATAACAGGTTTGGATGTTCATAATTTTCCTCACACATTGCGCAAACTTTCGGTAAAAACTACATGTGAAAAAACAAGCTAAAAATACAGCTTTACTGGTATTACTGCTCCAGAAAACTACTGGTAATATGATCTTATCTAGAATACATTATTAAGGCCCTCAGAAATTGAGGATTGGTGAAAAGGATAAAAAATATTATAGTAAACATCTATAGTGCACAAATGGCCATTCCCTATAAAGATAAAAAGTATATCCTTTAGAAAAAAAAACAGCTTTCTAGTGCATCAGCTAGGGGTCCAAATATTACTAAATGTATAAAGACATCATTTCATCAATACTGGTATACGTGAACCTTGGATTTCAAGAAGTGCAGGGAGCAAAATTAATCCATATACCCACCATCTAGACAAACCAGAATTTATAATCATTGACACCTGAAACAGCATACTGTACTGAATGGATAAGATTATGTGATTTCAGAGTAACATTTTTATTGGGGCCATCGAGTCTGTGTGCACAAAATACAAATTTGTATTATGCCAATTCTAGATCTGCCTTTTTACAAGTACCAAGGCTGACTCCAATGAAGTAGTTCAGACACCCCCCCCCCCCCCCGCCCAGCAGCATATCCATCATACCTGTAATACCACCTGTCATAACACTTCCACACTGTGTTCAATAACATAAACACACAGCTATACAAGTACCTTGCTATCCTTGAATGTTACAACGAGTCTGTATCCCTGCAACAAGTCCGTCCTGTTGTTCACGTCCCTGAGGGCCATGTAGACAGCGGGCTCACAGCCCTGCCCTCCTGCCCAGTCCCCGGACATCGGGAACAACCCGCCGATGTGCAGCAGGACCCGACCATCACCGCTACCTGACGGAGGGGAGATATATTGATGGTACTGTCTCTCAAGGCTATATTGTGTAGTGTCTGTTAGATTGGGTGTCCCATTCGGTGTCAACACAGGCCCCATGGAGGCCAAAAACGAACCCGGGGTGGTCGTTATTGAGTTGTCCGGCGACTGGAAATGACCAGAAAGGTTGCCAAATCTGCTCTGATTCTTTCCTTTGCCGACCGAAATGGCAAACAGCAATAGAGTTACAAGAATTATCCTTGACACTGTGCGGTATCTTGTCGTGATTACTGCCATTTGGTTGGTCGATAATCCTAAGTGTTAATGTTCCCGAGGTGTTTGTAAAACACGACTTACTGCTCGCTTCAAAGCCCTAGACCAGGCCCGACGTTACTTATTTCAAGTGGATTTCTTTGCATCAAATCAGCGGCTCTAGTTCATCTCCATTCAAGCACTGAGTAGTCAGTTGATGCAAAACACAGTCAAACCTCCAGATTGTGACTTACAACATATTTTTTACGGTGCGCGTGCTTTTTGGAGTTAAATTCCGCCCGCCTTCGCTTGAGTAACCATAATCAATCTGACAGGTGCTTGCGAAATACGTCATTGAGATGTGGTTATTTGGATTAGTGATTGACACTTCCGGCGACGTCATCAAAAGGTGTGTAAGTACACAGACACATGCACGGAAGTCCACGTGCAGGAGCAAAATACGTGGCTTTTTTAGTTTTATTTTAGGTAGATTTAACATATTCATATGGAAGAAGATCGGGAGGAACCAAATGCACACAGGTTTGTTGTATATTATTTGTCTTTTTGTAACAAATGTCCAATCATCCACTCCAATCTCGCTCGGCTTGGCTAGCTCGTTGGCTGCGTTCAACATGTACCAGGCAATTTAATTGTAGCAGTGTGACTCTGCATCACTTTTATCAGATTGTTCATTTTCTCCTTCCCCGTAATTTTCATTACACAGACACCTAAGTGTGGTGATGGACATTAGTACCTACATTGTACATCCAATTTTACTGGTTTTATGATGTTGTAGAATTTACGGTTAAAAGGCAGTAAAATAATTAGGGCCCACAAATTTTCCCAATAAAGCTATAGATTTGAAATATGATACAATCATACAGAGACAGCTGCATATCTGTTTGTGAATATACCATTTGACTTTTGGAACCTCTGTTTACAGGAGTAGTTATTCAAGTTTTAGTAACACCATATTACTTAAAATGAGTCAAAAGTTAACCCACTTGATTTTCACTTCCCAAACATTGTCCTACTACTGTAGCTAAGAATTTATCACATAATAGGTAAAATAAAAGGAGCTGAACACAGAGGGACAATAATTCAGCAAATCTTTATTACAGTTCAGGAGAAATACAGTAGATTGCTGCCCATGCATTTTTCTGCAATCAATAAAATAGCTCTCCTTGGAAGCAGACCATTTCTAGAACATTTCTTCTCAAGTCATGCAGGCCAAAGGCTGGCTTATGGAAGTCAGTTAAGGATTTAGACCATCTGAAATCTAAAAGCTACAATTAACAGTCTTGGTGTGAGCAAACAGTTGTAAAATGTACAACTCCTTAATTGATTTGAGCCAGTAATTTATTTTTTAGAGAGCATTCACACTGAAAAGAGCCGAGGTCTAGCAAGGCCGAGACCTAAATATGACGGACCAACATGAAAGGAAGATCACGTAACCCTTTCGTAGTCTCTCATTGACATTGACATCGACCTCGGCTCTTCTCAATGTGCATGCTCTTTTAGTCTTCAGTGTGTGTATTGTGTTAGAGGTGATGGATCACAGATGTTCACTGCAATGCAGAAGTCTTTATGTCTGCACCACATGTCACCTAATACTGAGCCTTCAATTCTTAATTCAAATATCTAAAAATAACTGGTTTATTTTCATATCATTTACACATACTTTTTTTTTTGCTGTTTTTGAAATGATCATCAATAACTGTTTAAATTCTCTCTCTTTTTTTTTTTTTTGGTGGTGGTGGTGGGGGGATATACCAGCAAAATGGCAGCACAGTAAACTGTTGTCATTCACTTATAATTGGTATATTTAGTTTCAGGTGTGAGGTATGTGCACAGTTAGCTGCCAAGTACAAGTGTCCTCGCTGTGCCATCAGGACATGTTCTTTACCATGTGTGAAGCAGCACAAGCTGAGGCAGGACTGTAGTGGAGTCAGGGACAAGACTGCTTACGTGGCAATGAAAGATTTCACAGACTTGAATTTGCTCAGTGGTAAGGGAATACAGAGCATGTGTAGCATGTGTTTTGTTTGGTGTTTGTTTCTTTATGCTTGCTATATGTATGTTTGGAGAGAGAGGCAGTCTGCCAGTAAAGAAATTAATATTTAGATATAAAAAAACACATGTTTAAAGATAAGTTTTTAGGTCAGTTGCTCTTGGATGTCATGTAGAAGCAAAATTCCAAACTTGTGTAAATTTCCCTTTCTGTTTTATTCAGTATACTGGCATGAGTTGTTTGGTGTTAATCACACCTGTAGACCATTCAAATTTAGATCTTTCATACTTAACATTTTCAAAATTCATTTGTTGCAGATTACAGATTTCTAGAAGATGCAGACCGCAAATCTGACACAGCCAGAAGAGACACAATAGCACGGCGAAGAGAAGTGCCTAGATATGTAAGTTACTGCACTTAATTGTAAAATAACAACAAGGATTTTCCTCTTCAAAATTTTGGGTATTGCTTATTTGATATATTTGATTGACTACCCTGTAAAATAGGGAGATTAGAGGAATGCCCTCAATAGAAAATAAAAATTCATTTAATCTACACTGTCGACACTTTTTCATTACAGAATTGAGATACTCATAAATTTCGTACAAGAATGCACCTGTAATCAGAGATGAATTGTGAAACAGATCTAAATTGTAATGATTCTCAATAATTTTCAGCTTAAAAGAGTTCTTAATCAAAGCAGACAGAGGGGCATCCATTTGAAACTGTTGCCTATTGGGATGACAAAAAGAAAACTGAATTCCACCTTCTTTCAAGAGAGGTATGGATGGATTTAGTTTCCTTTTTTTCTTTTTTTTTGTTTGTTTCATAATATTATTTTCATACACATGTTTTTGTTTCAATATGAAGTACTAGTAGTCATATACATTTTACATAGGAGCAGTTACAAGGTGAATGATTCAAGAATTTCCTTGTTGCTAGTTACTATAAAAATGATTTTGTACCTCAGTCAGTTCATTAATTGTTAAACTGTGTCATATATCTTCAGAACCAAAACCATCATGTGGACACTAGAGTGGGTGTTTCCTGCTGCACAAGCCAAGCACAGAGACAAGAGGTAACAATCATGGCGCACGTGTGGACAGTTTTACGTGCAGTTACAGTCCTGTATGTTTCAGTGTATAAACACTTGCCCATGTTTCGCAGAATGATTTTTTTTTTGTTTCAGACTGGCCAATGGCATTAATGCCGCATTAGTGTGTGTGTGTGTGCTTGTATGTGTGAAAATATAGTGGACAGTCAGGTAAGGTGGTGCATCATAAACATTTAGGGTTAACAAAAAAAACAAATGATGATACCTGTTCATTATATATACACACACACACACACACACACACACACACACACACACACACACACACACATATAAAATTACCAGGTTTCATATATATATATATTCATTGACAATGCAAATCTTGTTCATTCTTCTGGGTTTGATTTAAGTTCTTCTTCACACTGCATACCCAAAAAGGAAGTGAAATATATGCCAGAAAAATTAATGAAATAGATATATAGGCCTTAGTTGTGATAATCATCAACACATATTCATCTTTTTTTCCAGAGCTGGTGACATTGAGACCTTGAGATCTCTCCTGGGGAAGTACCTGACCCCAGGGGTTACAGACCCTGTGGTGAGACATAAGCTTAAACAGTATGAGAGAGCAGGAGTGGACAGTCTTACACTGGTCATGAAGGTAGAAGGGAGACCAGCTAATTCTGTCAGGTATACCATGCAGATGGATGGGAATTACAATTGTTCCTATCAAAATTCCAAAATTTATCTAGTAAAAATATCCGCATGGTGTTTTTGAATAGATAATGTAAGGTGAGGTTGACACCAGAATGTAATACAAAATGCATGGGAATTTTTAATCAGAATGCATTAAATTTTGTTGTTTGGTAATCGAAGAAAAATATGCAAACTTCACTAAGACTGGGTTCCCATTTTAGATCGACCCATCTGGATCGATCTAACTCCCTGGGGGGTCTCACTAAATTGCTGTCAACTAACCGACTTAGATCGCATTCACAACGAGTTGAGCCATGGCTTTACAAATCCTGGAACTAAATATGGCGGATGTACATGAAAGAAAAAACGCCTAATCTTTTAATAGTCTTTCCGCCTCTCACACGCCTCCCCATGCATCGTCCCTGCGGGGGTACAGTCATTAAATCTCGGCTCCATGCACTACTGAGTATATCTAACAAATCATTACCTTGTGTAATACTAACGTCAGTTGCATGTTTGTCTTTTGGTTTTCGTTGTTGAAAAGTAAGACAATTAATAACAGCAAGACTTCATCACAAAAAACTAGGGTCTCTGCTTATTTCAGATACCACAAATTGTGTTTAGACAAAACTCTGTGTGAGAATCTTCAAGGAAAGCTGATTGTGGAGTACCCTACAGTGTTTGTCCTATTGGAGAGTCAGCCTAAAATATACCCAATACTTGGAGAGGGTGAGTGAATTGTTAACATCAGTTTTGTCAAGATATAGAACAGACTGTTTTCATTTAGAGATAGTGAAAATAATCTTGATTAAGGATTAGATTAAAAGTATTAATGTATCCCTCCAAACTGTGAATATAATTACCCTACTTATGTTAGTCATAGCCTTTGTAAAAACTGGCTTGAACTAATAAAGAAAATTATTATTATTATTATTATCATTATTCCTGTTAATGGACATTTTTCTCTCCATTATAAACAGAAAACAGTAACAGCAGCAGCAGTGGCAATAGCAGTGACAGCAGTGTATCAAGTGATGAAGATAAAGCCAGTACTGCAGCGACAAAGAAAGTTGCATCTGCTGAGGAGAGAACAAAAGATACTAGTATCATTAATGAGACAGAAGAAACAAACTCCACAGACAATATTAATGCAGACTGATAATTTATGGTCAGCAAAGTGCATCCAGTTTGATGTACATGTTTAAACTAGTGCATCTTTAATGTTGCAAATCAGCCTTGGAAGAAGTACTTTTAGGTACCTTCAAATAGGTGATGGGTCTGATGATTGAGACTGGACAGTGAACAGAATGTGAGAGAAGCAAGTTTAATACTGGTTACCTAATCTATAATTTATATGCGACACTGCTATGCAAGTTCCTTAATAATCCATGTTGAAACAACTACCCTTGTGCCTATTTCTCTTAAAAACACCACATGTAAAACTGTAGTATATCTACACACAGTGCTGTTTTAGTTGCTCTGTATTAGCATGGTGCCTCATTTCTCACAGCAGAAGTACAGCAGTTTCAAGGACTCTAGAAAAAGACCACCAACAAGAGTTGCTGGCAGGAGATGTAATATGAAAATATCTCGCAATTATAAACAAAACTTTGCTGTTCATGACTTGACTTTGTTTCCTGCAGAAAAATTGGCCATAACTGGAATTCTACATATAGAGGTCAGTTAAGCCTCCTGTATCATCAGAACTTGTAAAAGGAAAAAGAAACAGAAGCAAAATAAAAGAACGTGAAATTCCAAAGTTAACATTGAACATGAAATCCACAGAAATTTTTTAAGCGATAGATTTTTTTTCTTTTTTTTTAATTGCTAAATTGATTCTTTGTTAGATTTATGCACTCCGTACTGTGACAGTGAGTTCCGGTATTAAATTAAATTAATAATTATGTAATTGGAGATTTGCAAAAACAAAGGAAATCTATCAAAAACGCCATTGTAGGAAATATGAACCATGTGATGTTTTTCGTTTTGGCCATGAGCTGTCTTTGATCTAGTTGTATTGTAACCTGTGTGTTACTCGCCCTCGTGTTATGAAAGGGGATTGGTCACTCTCTTATACCCCCTTTACACTGGACGGCGTCCTTTCTGCGTCCTCTCTACGACCATGAAATTTGGCATCGCTGTGGTCTTAATAAGGAGGGACGAGCATTAATTTTGTATCAGAATGAATGCTCAATGATCGGCCAGTTGTCGGCACGTAAAATATTATAATTTTTAAACTCTCAAATGGGGCCGGATTGCTGGACGCAGAAAGGACGCCGTCCAGTGTAAAGGGGGCTTTAGTGAAATCACTTGGTGGGAAAAGAGGTTCACATTGTTTACGGTCTAGTTGCATCAAGGTAACTATTGTCGTCCACAGCCTAGGTAAGTGCCGCTTTTGTTCCCTCCTATCTGGAATATCTCTACATTGGCAATGAAGATGTCGATAAATTACTCTTATCACAATATCGTTTTGGTGCACTGAAACTGAAAGGACTTTGTTTCGTGGGACTTACAGTGAGTGAAGTGGAACCTGGTATAGGTTGCAGGTTGTTATTGTATCTAGTTTGATAGATTCTAGCTTATGTCCGGTCTTGTTGGATTGACGTGGTACCACCCATCTCGGCAGGTCGACTTGCGGTAATTACCATATCTTTTCAACGGTCAAAAATTATCAAACTTTCAGATACACAATTTCATAATCACAAACATTATATTTCTGTATGGCATTTGTGGTGCTTTTACTAAAACGAAGTAGCCTACCTTTTAATTTTGTTGCTACCACTCAATAAAATAGACTTTTAAGACCCACCGAACGCCTTAGCAATAATTAAGTACAACATTGACATACACTTATGCTTATCTATGACGAGTATCGACACAAACATCAAAATATATGCCAAGTTATCTCCTTGTTGACTTTTTCCCCTTTCACCGACAAAAGGAAGATGGTGAGCGTGAGATGATACTATCTTACGTGTACCTCAGGCACCTCTGCGTGGACAGTCTACCGAAATCCTCGAGTGACACCTTCAAAACTATGGCAGATGCTTTCTTTTTTACCCAACACAGTGATTTAGTTTGCATATTATACCAGTAATTAAGACGTTTAATTTACAAAAAAAATCATAAATATTTCGCATGATAAATGTATAAAATACTGCTTGTCACAAAATGATATGTTGAAACGGCCCCGTCTTCATTTATCTTAATGTGAAAAATGAGTTAAATTATGAGAAACTGTCATTAACGGCAGATCATTATTTTTACTTGACACGTACGTCCTGTGGAGGTGTCGTTTGACTCATCCTGTGCTCGACCCACGTGTTTTAGTTACGTGATTCAATGGCGTGGTCCCCGTCTTTCTGCTCTATTGTCATTTATTTTATTTCTTTGTGGCGGTCATTAAACCGCTCCTGCTATCAACCCATGCAGACAACTAATTTATTTCCACTCATCAATAAGTGAATGAACTAAAAAATGAAGTGATATGCAATATGCCTTATTTTTCTGATAAAAATCGTTCTCTGGATTGATATCAGAGGAATCGTCTGAGCACCCGTAATTTTCTCCTTGTTTGTGTTCGAATAATTAAGCAAATGTCACGTATACGTACGTCTTGCATACAGGAAGGCTCAATCGCATACAGAATTCTACAGAAGAGACTGTGCAGAAAGACGTGCGCTCTTGTGAGTAATTGCTAACGGCAGAAACNACGGCGTCCTTTCTGCGTCCTCTCTACGACCATGAAATTTGGCATCGCTGTGGTCTTAATAAGGAGGGACGAGCATTAATTTTGTATCAGAATGAATGCTCAATGATCGGCCAGTTGTCGGCACGTAAAATATTATAATTTTTAAACTCTCAAATGGGGCCGGATTGCTGGACGCAGAAAGGACGCCGTCCAGTGTAAAGGGGGCTTTAGTGAAATCACTTGGTGGGAAAAGAGGTTCACATTGTTTACGGTCTAGTTGCATCAAGGTAACTATTGTCGTCCACAGCCTAGGTAAGTGCCGCTTTTGTTCCCTCCTATCTGGAATATCTCTACATTGGCAATGAAGATGTCGATAAATTACTCTTATCACAATATCGTTTTGGTGCACTGAAACTGAAAGGACTTTGTTTCGTGGGACTTACAGTGAGTGAAGTGGAACCTGGTATAGGTTGCAGGTTGTTATTGTATCTAGTTTGATAGATTCTAGCTTATGTCCGGTCTTGTTGGATTGACGTGGTACCACCCATCTCGGCAGGTCGACTTGCGGTAATTACCATATCTTTTCAACGGTCAAAAATTATCAAACTTTCAGATACACAATTTCATAATCACAAACATTATATTTCTGTATGGCATTTGTGGTGCTTTTACTAAAACGAAGTAGCCTACCTTTTAATTTTGTTGCTACCACTCAATAAAATAGACTTTTAAGACCCACCGAACGCCTTAGCAATAATTAAGTACAACATTGACATACACTTATGCTTATCTATGACGAGTATCGACACAAACATCAAAATATATGCCAAGTTATCTCCTTGTTGACTTTTTCCCCTTTCACCGACAAAAGGAAGATGGTGAGCGTGAGATACTATGATACTATCTTACGTGTACCTCAGGCACCTCTGCGTGGACAGTCTACCGAAATCCTCGAGTGACACCTTCAAAACTATGGCAGATGCTTTCTTTTTTACCCAACACAGTGATTTAGTTTGCATATTATACCAGTAATTAAGACGTTTAATTTACAAAAAAAATCATAAATATTTCGCATGATAAATGTATAAAATACTGCTTGTCACAAAATGATATGTTGAAACGGCCCCGTCTTCATTTATCTTAATGTGAAAAATGAGTTAAATTATGAGAAACTGTCATTAACGGCAGATCATTATTTTTACTTGACACGTACGTCCTGTGGAGGTGTCGTTTGACTCATCCTGTGCTCGACCCACGTGTTTTAGTTACGTGATTCAATGGCGTGGTCCCCGTCTTTCTGCTCTATTGTCATTTATTTTATTTCTTTGTGGCGGTCATTAAACCGCTCCTGCTATCAACCCATGCAGACAACTAATTTATTTCCACTCATCAATAAGTGAATGAACTAAAAAATGAAGTGATATGCAATATGCCTTATTTTTCTGATAAAAATCGTTCTCTGGATTGATATCAGAGGAATCGTCTGAGCACCCGTAATTTTCTCCTTGTTTGTGTTCGAATAATTAAGCAAATGTCACGTATACGTACGTCTTGCATACAGGAAGGCTCAATCGCATACAGAATTCTACAGAAGAGACTGTGCAGAAAGACGTGCGCTCTTGTGAGTAATTGCTAACGGCAGAAACTACCCTGGCTTGCTTGTGGTAGAAAGGACTTTGTTGATGTGAACGGGAAGATGTACAGTAAAAGAACAAACCTTTTTTTTTCAGCTACAAATGATTGACTGTAAGCTAAATGTGCCAGTTTTTCGCTGAACTTGAATTTGGTAGTAAAATATATATGTCTCGAAAATGTCGAGTGTGCCACATCAATTTATGTAAATTAGGCCCTGCTGGTAATTTTAACGTGCCAGAATGTTTTAGCACATCTTGTCTCTACCGTGATAATTCATGCAATAAGGATACCTACAAATGTATTATGCGCTGCTACGGCTGCTTCAAAGTATGAGCAATATCGCCGTAAATGTGACGTGGTAGTTAATCTAGTATTGTACGGAATAATCCTCCTGACAGGCTGAAGATGATTGAAAATCAAGGCCCCATGACGTCGGCCTTCAACATACGGCACAGGAACTCGTCCTTCAGGCATCCATTAATAAACTCTTCTTTGGTGAGATCTCCGGTGTCATCAAGGTCCATTTTGCTGAATATTTGGTCAGTGCACTCTTCTGGTGTCACATAATCAATATCGCCCTCTTTGCGACTGATTTTACTGACCGCTCTCATAATGTGGAGAATCTCTTTCTTGCCTATCATACCGTTTCCGTCGATATCACACATAGAAAAGGTCCAGCTGAGCTTATTCTGGAGGTCCCCAGAAGAAGTGATACTTATGGTGAGAAGATAGTCGCGGAAGTTGATGTCCCCGCTTCTATCGGCGTCAAAAGCTCTGAAAATATGCTCGTAGAAATCCGCCGCTTTCCTTGTGTCGATCGTCGGATTGATGCACGAGAAAATGTGCATCAGTTTTCCCCGACTCAATGTCCCAGATGGATTTTCCTCCCAGAAACTCTTGTGCAGTTGCTTGATTTGTTTCTTGTCATACTGTGTGTGTTTGGCCAAGTAGAGTAAATCTTCTTTGGAGATTCTGTTCTTAGATCTCGAGTTGCCCATTTTGTCGAGTTACATGTAAGATTGAAATATTTTGTCCTTGGTCGTCCGTTGGTATCATGTACGTCCTTTCTCCCATTCAACTCAGCGCCGCACCGCAGGTCAGTTATTACACATGGCACTTCACTGCAGACGAAGGGTTTACGCATAAAGCACAGCCTTTGTTACGCATACTCCTCATGGTCAATATGGCATAGGTCGCACCACGGTTTCATTTAAGGCCAAAACGATGTCCAAATACTCACAACTCTTCTATTCCGTTCTCTCCTCTTAACCCAAGTCTTCTAAAGATGAATTCCTTTACCCAATTCTTCCCCGTTTAAGATTCGATCTCACTCGCTTATTTTCTAGCGTTCCTCGCTCCCAGGGACGTGATGACTAAAGCTCCGGCTCATCTACATGTTAAATGTCCTATAAAATTAATACTCTGTCTCAGCATCCACGATCAGCACGATTCATGTATTATAATGTCTAAATATTATTAAACATATATGTAAAATACCAGGCACAATAACACGAGTGTGGGTGCACCGCACGCTGGAAGTGAAATGGCCCTATTGCGTGCCACTGTACCACCCGACTAGTATTTTATCTCCTTCCATATCACGGGATAATCTTATCACACAAAGCCACCAATGACACGCTAGTTCCCTGACCAACTACATATAGTTTAACAAATAACCTAATAATAATAAAAAATAATGAATATAATAATAATTTTGTATGTTTTGAGCTTCTTATAACAACTTATCTACCTTTGACTTATCACAAAACTCGCTTACAGCTTCGACAAAGCAAAGCCACAAACCCAGGTTACAATTTATCTGACGCCATCAGAAGGTGAGGAACATTCTGCACTATAAAACTTGAGGCCGGTGACCGAAAAGGGGATGTAAACAAATGATTTATGTTTATGTTATGTGTATGTACTGTGTATGTACTGCAAATCTTTCCTCGACCTTTTATATACAGCTCCCAGACAAGATAATGCGTCTTTTTCCACGTACATCGCAGATCTGATTCAGATGTCTACAAATATATAACACCGATAAGAGTAACTATAATACTGTCTTTAATCTATACATCCGATATCAAGAATGTACTACAGTCTACTGATATGTACATGTAATACATTCTTGCCGATATGTACACATGCATTTAACAAATCAGACAAACCACATGCATTACGAGAGCATTTTTCAACAATATACCTGGAGAAATGCACATTCGAACAGCGTTTTAAGGTGTTGTTTTTATTTCATTTAAAGGGATAATAACTGCCCATATTGGCGGGAAAAGTGCCATGAAACGGATTTTCCTGGGTTAAACGTTTTCTCATACTTACCAACAGTTAATGAATCCGTTCCGACATTCAAAGTTAGTCCTTTTTTAAATTTGATTTTTGTAATAATCCCTTATGTGATTATAACGGAGAGTAGTTAGCCATCTAAAAAGGTCCACGATGTCCGATGGCAAGCACAGATTCGAAAATAATTGCAATAGCCTCCGTTTTGGTGGTGAAATGGAATTAATTTTTTTAGTTGTTTTCAGTGAATTTATTATAAAATGTGGATCTCAGACGAAGAGTTGTTATCCCTTTAACATTGCTGACATGCGGTTAACGTTGATAAGACCTTTGCTGCATTGAAGCATCCATTTAATACTTCTACAAGCGTGCTTTGGCGGAAATATTGTAGATAAATGAAGAGGAGAGGTAAAGCTATCATAGTTAAAAAAAGAAATGAAGTAATTAAGTTCTGAAGATAAATTGACGGCATGCAGAGTTTGTACTTCATAATATGTTAAGGGATAACAACTCTTCAGGTACATGTGAGATTCATAATTCCACAATAAATAAACTTTAAAAGACAGATGGAAATAAAATAAATTTCATTTTACCACCGGCGGCTATTGCAATATTTACTGTTTACTATCGACTTTCCCAAAAGTTTGCACTTACTTAGAATGTCGGGACGGATTCGTTAACCCTACATGTAGGTACAAGTGTGGGAGCATCGTCGTTTACCCCAGAACAATCTGTTTTATGCCACTTTCCCCGTTAAAATGAAGATCCATTTAACCTTACGCGTTTAAAAAATTTTGGAAATTTCTAACTTTACTTTCAATGAGTTGTTTTTGTTACTCGTTTTATATCTTCCGGAGGCACTAAAGCACTGTTGTATGCTCTCGTCTGTCGCACGTGACTCATTATTCATGACTCGTTACGTGTAATAAGTCTGCGGTATTATCAATGAACTTGATAGCCAGTTTTTAATATACTATGGCCATTCTTCGGCGCACTTTGTGCAGTCAGAGTTATCAGCAGTGTTTTGCATGGACAATTTTGTGGTAGCCGTAGATCCAGTAGGGCGATAAATGGCAGCTCGTTCGTCACTGCCATGGACGCGGCTTATCTTGACAGACCAACCCCGCCACCTGTTGAGGTGGGTGTTTTGATTTATGTCCTACCCATAGTGTGTCGCCTGTAGGATATATTACCTGACTTTTGAACGTTTTAATACCAAAGGGCCGTTTGGGAATTGTGTGGGGGTGATGGATACTCAATATCTCTCCTACATTTTCTATTTTTTTCATCAAAGATACACACTCGCAGTTGCGTTGAGAATGATCAACAGGGGCGTAGAAGTTAATATGAAGCTAAATCTTAGCGTTCATGGAGGAAAAGGAACACAGGAAATAAGATAAAAGTTATTAGATCTAGGAGAAATTAAGCTGACAGGCCCTGTCTCAGGATTCGAATGTTGTCCTCGTCTCCCTGCTTGATTTAAAAGATGCTTTCAAATATATCAATATACAAACAGTTATCGCACAAAGCTTACTGAAATGAATATTGACAAAATATAAAGCTTCGGTCACGATATATAATGTTTGCACAAGATTCGGTAGGCAGGATTAAGAAGGCGTTAACAAGGTCGACTTAAAGTAGACATTCTTCAGATCATTTACAAAAGGTGCATATCACAAGTCACAGTAACTGACAGGGTCCAGAGCTGAGAATGAACGATAAAGGTAGGATGATTCAACTACGAGTAGGGTCATCTCACAAAAACGTGGCCATTTTAGTCATGTCAATGACGCACACATTTTGTGAAATATTTACATGTCTGTTTTTGTCGCTTTTAAAAACTGTTAATTTCTTTTTGTATTGGAGGGTGCTATAGTATAAAACGGTGAAAATTATGGGTCAAGTAAAACTTATGCAAATATTACACTAAAATGTGCCATTAACATGACTTACACGTTCACTTGTTGTGGAATTAACCGATATAGTTAATTCCATATACGTAGTTCCACAGAAAATTGACTTTTGGTGCTGATTTAAAAAAAAAAACTGAATTGCCTATTGGCTTTGTAAATATTTGAAATTTCACTTATCGTTTTAAAGCATGAAGATAGAAAGGAGCGACTCCTTTTTTCTGTAAAGATTTGGGCAATCCCACAGAGGAAATTAAAACGAGCAAAACAGTAGAAGAACACTTTGTTTTATTGATCTTTTTTCTAAACCAAAAAGAACACGCAACGCGTAGTTCTAAGTCACAGTTGTCACAGTTGGAGATAGCAAGTGCTGTGGCACTGAAAAACGGGAGTTAAAATACGTAGCTTACTGTGACACTGGGGTTTAAGTGCAATGTGCTCATCCTTTGGAAGGATGGTCGAAAGCGAGGCCTGAACATCAACATTGTCCAAGGGGACAGAACAATACGAGTCTCTCTCTCTCTCTCTCTCTCCTTCTCTCTCTTTGGTGCCATATGATACGACTTATAATGCCAGTTTGAGCGTCCTTTTCCCTGCTCCGTCCCACATTTTCCTTTGCGTGTTGATTCTTGTGTTTTTACTTTAGTTGGTTTAGAGCCTTACGCCTATTAGGCCAAAGCATAAATAGCGTGGGGTTGCTGAAAATCGAGACTGTCTCCACCATTCATCCCTTGTGTACTTTATTTACCCAACTTCAAGAGGTTCGTGTCATCGCGTGTCATTTATCCAGGTACAAACAAGAGCAAACACACGCTTTTACTTAATGCTACCGGGCACAGTGACACAGAAGTGTCAAGGTTTTATTTACAGCATGTGTCTGCGCAGCGACATGATAACAGGGCGGGGGTGAAAAACGTTTGGAGGATTCTGGCTGAAATAATTTTACTACAGATTGTCATTATCAGAATGTATTACGATTATAAATAAATACGCTCTATCACGATTCAATGCGTGTTAATTATTATTTTTATAATCACTTTGAAAGATACCGATTTTTTTATTTCTTTGCGGAACACATAATACAGCCGCGGAATAACATCTCCAAGCAAGGAGATTACACACACATGTTGCACGCACGCACGCACGCACACACACACACACACACACACACACATTTGTCTCCTTAGCAAACAACATTCCGTTAAGTGTCTTCGGGATGCGCCTTAATCTCAATTCTGACATTTCAGAGCTGCAAGCGTTTCAAGAGTCCTGTCTCCGTGCACACAATGCCTACAGAAGTGACCACGGGTGTCCGGAGTTGACCTGGTCAGTTGACCTGGCCAAACAAGCACAGGAGTGGGCGGACAGGGTGGCAGAGAAAAAATATCTCCAGTACAGCGAAAACCCGAGTAAGCGCCCTTGTTATAATAGATTTAAAATCTTACTTCACAGGAAATAAAATAAATCAGGCTGTGCCTGGAAATTTATAACAGCCGGTGTGGCAGGAATGGTTGTCCGCTAATAACCGCGTAGTCAGCTCCCCATTGCTTTGTTCAGGTGACATTCGCCCCATATACATATACATATACTCAGGGGCGGATTGAAGTCGTCTTTTGGGTCTTCCTGAAGATTTTCAAGTTTTTCAAGATTTTCAAGTTTACATTGACGGGTATCTAATTTTTTTCTGTTGGAAGACGGTCAAAAATGGAGGATGGATCAACAAAGATAACTTGGAAGACTCTGGATCCGCCCCTGTGTACTAACCCCAATCCTCCGATTTACCCTAACCTGTCGTAATCATAAGCTAGGATCCAAAATAAAAGAACGTTATGGTATACAGACCCATTTTTTAATACTTCCTGCAATATTAAACGTTAAAACATTTCACGAAATCAACAGCGTTTTGAAACTTACAACCAACATGGCGGACGGGAACGTAGCAACCGCGAGAATATACGGTAATGTGCGATAACTGCCTGTGCACGCTTCGTCACGCTAGCCTGACCACACGCTGTCTAAGCTATCAAAACAGCTTAACTAGACAATAGGGGAATGTTTACCCGAAGGTATCATGGTTCAAAGGCGATTTGCCGCTTTCTTATCCTCTTTATTTTGGATCCTAGTCATAAGGAACCCCGGATTTCCATCCCTTGGACTACCGGCAAGGACCAACTGTAATTATAGGCTTGGAATATTGGAAGTTTGGACTTATAATTAAAATCAGTCCATTTCGGCGATTTCCTTGTTTCAGATGTGGGGGAAAGCATATTTTTGGTGGATTCTGAGGACCAGCTGACTGGAGAGGCTGTAACAGAACACTGGTACGCAGAAGGATACGGATATGATTACAAAAACCCGAGGTGGAGAAAAGGTAGCATTGCTCACTTAATAATGCGTGTGCATCATAGCGTGTGCGCATGTCTGTAAACTGGTATATATATGTTTTTGGGCAAGTTTGTGCGTGCGCGTGTTATAGGTCTGTGCTCGCGCACGCGCGTGTGAAAGAGAGAGAGAGAGGGATGGAGGGGAAGGAATAGGAAGGGAGAAAGAATGATTATACAGTATACGATTAAATATTTTACAGTCGCCTATATTATGTTTTGTGTAAAAATAAATTTGACTATTAAATGTTATACAGTAACTAATAACTACTATTTTAGAAATGAAGGAGAGAAAGGCATAAACTCTTATCCATGTTTTCAGATAGCAAGCGGTTCAGTCAGTTAATATGGCGGAACAGTCACGAGGTTGGAGTGGGCGTGGCACATATTCCGGGAACAGGAAAACACGTGGTGGTGGCTAACTACAAGCCTCCTGGCAACGGAAACTTTCCCGGAGAATATAGGAAAAATGTTCCGCCGCCGCTACATGCTAAGGATATTCCCATTGAAGACTGAAATATTGGATGTGTTATCCTTTTGTTGGGAATTTCTCATAATGCAGTGAGCATGAAAACACTGCGAATAAAATTTTTTGAACAAATTGTCAGATAGAGGCATGTTATCGAACTGTTTAGAGAGAGTTTCAAGGAAAAACGTTCATTATATGTTCTTGTCGGCATCATAAAACAATATAACTTAAATAGCTTTTTGATACAAAATGTTTTGTGGTTTTGTTCAGAATGTGTATATAATATGGATTAAGAGCAACAGTTATTTGTAATTTAAATACACCTGAACCTATTTCCAGGGACATTAAAATGCTCTGTCCAGCACTCGCAACGTACAGAGCATATCTGTTATTTTTATTACCCTAGACAGCCATGCCTTGATAAATGTGACTGTGCAATGCACTGGAAACAAACTATGCTTAGCTGTAGCACAGTCAATGTACTTTTAGAAAACGTATAGATCGTGACGGCTGCAGGACACCTAGTAAATACTGGTTTTTAGGAATTTCCGCGTTTGAGGTTAAATGGTTGACCGTGTCCAGGCAGTGCCCCTGTACTGCTGATGTTTATAAACGGTATGCGCACCGTGAAATCGTTCTAGTCGGTTCACAGGAGAAAATAATGATAAAAATGAAGGCTAGCACTGCGTGGTGGAGCTATCTGATATATCTGAGCTTACAACTTGGACAGGGATTTTGCAGGTATTAATTTTTCATCTTCATAAAAATGTGGAAATTTAATGTCGCTTAAAGATTGTGTATGTGGTTTACAAGTTGTTGAGCACAATATTCTACTTAATAATCGCAGTGTTGGTTAGGACGGGATGGAAAGCGAGCGAACAAGAAAGCGAGAAAGACGAAAGCAGTAACTTATTTAAAAAAATTTAAAAAAAATAAATAAATAAATAAAAGCTCGAAGTGGCTTCTCGTGCTCATGATCTTTGATTGCAAAAGAATTAAAATAGAGCGACATTTTTACATACCTTTTGTCGGATCTAAGTTGCAGATAACAGAGTCAGAATTATTGAAGATTTTTTTCGTAGCTGATAACCGGCACAGTTCTACGGGTAGGGCCTGTAGAAGTAAATTGAAATTTTGTTAAACAGCTCTTGAATAATTCATAAAATTTTATTTTTTTCATATAATCCGTAAAACTAGCTTATACTACAAAAGTATATAGAGTATATTATGACAAGTCAGAGCAGAGCAGTGCATCAGCCGATATCTCTCACAACATAATATTGGAAAGGAAATTACAGGCGATGTATATCATTAACTCTTATTTAATGAATTACAGCAGCTCGTTTTGGATAATGTAAAAAAACATCCACTGCCAGTTGGGAGCTATTTTTAAGCACTCGAAAAATACGAGTACGTATAACTCTAAAGCTGTTATACCATTCCGTTGATTCTAAGTATTCCATGTATTATTTCCCAACAATTTTTGTGAAATACATGATTATTGTCTTTTAAAGAATGATTAACGCAATAAAAAACGTAAATCGTTTTTTCAAGGATGTCAGCAATATAACAAATTGTTTGTGGGCTAATGAGTTACATTTGGCATCCTTATCTCCGAGTATTCAATGAGAATCGTCCAAAAATCAATTCGCAGAAATTGGAGGAAAGTAGAATCAGAAATGACTGAAGACTAGCAAAAGCTTTGCGGTAACGAATTAAAGCTGACGAAATTTATTCGCGGATATTTTTCTGTTTTTTACATGTATCTCTTCCGGTCTGTAGAATTTCAATCTATTACGCAACAGTGCCAATTCATCCTGTTTTGCGTGTTTCCTTTGTATCAATTTAAAGTCGCTGAAAGACGACATTTCCAACGAGAAAAAATTTGACATTATACGTGAAAGCCCCCCC